ATTAGACCCTTCGCCCTCAAGGGCCACGGGTCGGCTTCGCGTCATGGGCTATTGACCCGTAGCCCTTGCGGGCTACGGGTCTAATTGTTAAATAATCTGTCCGCGCGCGCAAGCGAGGCGAATGGTAAAAAATTGTCTTTCTTCAGTCCCACCCTTTGCATTTTTGCTCGGTAATACCCCGCGCGGTAAATGTTTTCCTTGCAGTGACGGTGCCAGTGATAGCCATGCTAAGAGGTTGGCAACATAGCATTTATGAAAGGAATAGATCTCTGAATGGAATTTGCAAGCATTACCAGCCGTGGAGAGGTTTACGACAAGTTTTCATTTTGCAATAGTAACATAGGTAACTATGATAGAAACACGTGGCCGCGTTCAACGGATTTAAAAAAAATACTTGTTTAAACTTCTAAAAAGTCCTGCAAGAGTACGAGCTTGATCTTAGGGTGTGTTCCTTTGCGATGATCTGGATCAGGATTTGTGATCCACGATAACTCGGATCATAATGTATAGTACGTCAAAGACTAACAGGACTAACAGAGGCATCCACTCTGGAAAGTTGGTGGAAAAAATGCTGAGATCAAAACTAATACTCTTTCCCCTAGGGAAGGAAGCTAACAGATCAAGCAAGGTCACGCATATCAATGAAAAACATTTCTTTATTTCTAAATTAAATTCTACTCGGCAGAGTACTTTTGATTGCCAGAAGAGAAAGGCATACACTGCACCCACAGCGACATGTGGAACGTTCACTAGAATTAAACTGTCGCTTACATTTAATTACTAATACTCTTCTCTCTCTGAATAAAAATGTGAAGAAATTAAGAGGTAGATGAAGATAACCCGAAGTCGTCCAAATTTAGCACAAACGGGGATAAGTCAAACTTCTCCAACATCGCCCCTAATTTCCCTAAGAGAACCTGAGAAAGTTAAGGTGGTTAACAACTTATTAAGTCGCCAAGTAATTGTTTGAATAACGATTTACCGAACTACAAATAACAATATGGTAATCTACAATCGTGCTAACCTAACAACAGAACTTAAATGATTGCCATTGTATTCCTCAAGGTAGAGTTACCACAAGTATTCTGCAGCACGTACACCGACTACCATGCATCATTAGAGAGTTGTGAGAGTTTTTAACGTTGTAACCAGTGCACGTTGTTGGAAAAGTAACAAACGAAAATATAGATATATACTTTAAACTCGTTTATATTTGTAATTTAATAAAATCAGTGCAACATTCTAATGCTATCTCTATAAATATTCCTCACTGAAGATTTGGTTTTAACAGTTTTTTTGGAAGATAAATAAATTTAGTACTACTGAACATACTAGGCCGCCGCCCAACGAATTATATTCTAACATCACTAATATGGAACCGTTCATCATGGGCAAGGCTCATGTTGATTATAAAGAAACAAACCGTGACTTAAATTAGCTCGCACCTTAGATTAGCCTGTGTCATCCTGAGAATTCGCGCTTATGTATTCCCTTCAGCTGCAAAAGGGACTTGCTTTGTCAATCAAACACATTTCATTTACTTCGGTGATTTGAGAACACACGCTACGATTAAGGCCCCGTCCACACTACGCCGAAGGAAAACGCACCAATCACAGGCCATTTTGGATTTCAACACGAAAACGAAAAGCCGGCGTTTTCATATTCCTCCGGTTTGAAGAGCTCGGTTTTCATGACGGATTAGTGTGGACGCTTCCTAAGTAGTTCACTATTTCTCCTGCTTCTTAAGTGACGTCCTCCAGGACATATGTCACACGGGGTTTTTGATGATCCTACCCATACGGTAATCGTACACTTGCCGACAGAAGAACACCAGGTTAGGGTCCGTGCGAGGATGGGGAACTGAACCGGGCTTTGTACTCTCTCCGGGAGGAACCGGGGATAGAGGAGCTTCCCTGAATTCTCGGAACAGTCTGTTGAGTGCCCGGAACCTACGATTCAAACAAACAGCAAAGACAATCTAAACAACACAAAACGTTTAACCGCAAGCTTGATTACTACAGCAGCCTAAAGCCCTACTTAGCACGCAGATGATTCAGTAAGTTCAGTACTACCCATTGTTTAAGTCTAGAAAGTTTTTTTGAGAGCAAGGCCCGGCGTGGTTTTTCCGTGCTACACATTTTCTTTTCGGTGATACATAGCAGTGACCTAACAAGGAGAGCAAGAAAACAAGGCATCTACAAGCCGCTAACGGTGGTTGAAAATTTTGGCAAGTCTCCCGATCCTTGAAACTTCATTCACTCCATATCAGTTGAGCTTGATTCCACATGTTATTTTACAATAGAACATGCTGGATTATTCTCGCATTTTGATTGGTTCTTACTAATGATCAATTAGAGGACAGACGTACATGTCTTTAACTTTTTGGTCTTTTTATTGGATCAGTTGTGAAACAGTTGAAACATGTTTTCCTACGTCTGTTCAGTAATAGACCACAGAAGACGTGAAAATGTGGTGAGAACATCAGTGACACACTCGGCTACCGCCTCGAGTGCCACTTTGTTTTTCTCACCACATTTTGACGTCATCTGTGATCAATTACTGAACAGACCCACGACAACATGGAGTCTATTTGTTAAACTGATTAAGGAAAACCCTTCACAAGTGTCGCCTGAACAGCCAGTTATTTTATATCAAGTGTCAAACTATTTCCGATAGTTCATGAACCTATAAAATGTTTTCACATAAACATCAAGAGCAACTTACAAAGGTAAAAGATCACAAACTGAAGAAACACGATGGCTATATCTACTTACATTCGAACTTCCCCACAATTTAACCAAAGGTGTCCTTGCTAGTTAAGGAATAATTACCTGCAGTATTCTGGATAACTAAGAACGTAGCACTTGTCTACAATACACGCCACGCTGTTGTCGTCTTTATGTCTTGAGGCCATCACCTCCATCTGTTGACAAGCAAAAAAGACGCCCATTACATCAAAATATCTCAGGGACAAGCGACTCAGTTTCTACCAAACCATCCTAAACTAAGCCATTTCTACCACCAAGCTGTTTGACTAACAATAAGCGGTGTGTTACCTCGCCATGGAAGTTTGGAACTCTCCCTACTTCAGTCTGCTCTGGTCGATAATACCAAAACACACTCATCATCATCTCGCCAGCGTTCGGGCCTGTCATCGGAAAAACGAGTGTTAATCGACAGTTGCTAACGGCTCCCAAGGCATAGTCATAAATCACGAGGTTAAATTTCATTTCCCACACTTACTGTTTGGTTTGGATTGGCTACCACACTTACTGCATATGCATGGTGCAATTATAGTATCAACTAGTTAAACGAAAACTAGAAGGAAATCTTTCTCCTTAGACTTAAACAACTTATGGTTGAGAACTCGTCACCGAGAATTGACCGAGACCAACTTTCGAAGAACTCATATCGTTGACTGGAGGGAGAAATAGAAACCTTTTCAGTCCAAGAAGATTTCTCAAAAATAGTACCACTCCCCCAACTAAATTCTAGGTATTTAAAAACTTGGAAAAAAAGATTAAAGATAAACAAGGAGAAGAAATGCTACTGTGCCAATTTCCAATTTTATCTTCTTTATTTTTTCCCACTCTTAGTGACATCTGTTTCCTGAAGAGAAATCATCCCTACCTAAACATTCATCGAAATTCTAGGTATCCATCCAACTGGACTCCAAGACTTTTCCTCTTCAACGATATCAAATTGTTTCAAAATGTTTTTAGTTCCATGTTATTACATCCAACAAGCGATATACTTACCTTCATCCTCCTCCCAGAGCCCAGAAACACGTGCCACAAAAGGTGGATCTTTCTTCCGTGTTCCTGACTTAAGAAGAACCGAGTCACGTACATTTATGATCTCGTCTCCACGCTGAACACCGCTGTAATACCGCCGTATCACTATTGTCTCGTCCTGAAAGTGAGGTCACGTATACATAATGTAAGTAAGCATGGTCTACGAAAACGAAGTCATATCTTGGCTTTGCTTTTGATTGTTCTGATCTGCGAATATTCAGTAAACGTTACAAAAACTGTGTAAACAAACTGTTGTCGGAAGGAAAATGTCGTCTTTTGCGACTTTTCACCGCTTTGACACTGTTTTTGATTGACACGGCTTACCCATCTTTGCTCGGAGCTTTGCTCTTCTCGTACCTAGCACCAGTTCCCCTTTTTTTCGCATGTGCTGATTTTTTTTCAATGTATAAACTACCTTTCCTAGCGCTATCTGCAGGTGACCGTTTAAAGTGTATCGTTATGAGGGATAATAAAGAAAGACAAGTCAATTACTTACATAGCAGTACGGTTTGTCTAAAGGTTCACCGATAAACATCCAACCATTCGTTCTCTGTAAAGGTAACAAGGGATACCAAAATTATCAATGCAACAATCAGCACCCAGTCCCTGCCAGTCACCAATCACAAACTCGGGTGAGCTTTGCTCTCATAGCTTAAGTTGGAATCCGGTAATTCGAACTCGGTCTTTTCGAATTCCCTGTTCCTTCGAACTCAAAACCATTTCCCTTGGATTTTCCCTTCAGTCATTTACTATCGGCTATTTCGAAATTCCGCTATTTCGAACTATTTTTCGTTTCCCCTGAGAGTTCGAAAAAGTGGGGTTCAACCGTATTTGGGAAAGCACACCACGTTCGATTTACTGGCTACTAGACCAGAGGCGAAGAGGTCACTATTATAAAACGCTAACACACGGCAAAAGTCACAATAATGTATATTTTGCCGATCATTCACATTCTGTAACTCATCTCGTTAGACTCCTTTTACAGAAACAGGTTGGCAAACTGTCAGCCTATACGCGCCTCCTGTTATTTGCGTGTGTTCATTACCAGAGTTTGAATATACAGCTGTAGTTTCCATAATCGCACCTTGCGTCTTTTTACTGCACGCTATCTGGTCCAAGTGCCACGCAGTTTTGCGGCTTGCACGAGCAGCATTAAGCTAATGTTTTAACGTATGTTGCCTTGTTACTCCTTACGATGCCATTTGGAGCATAATGAAGGTTTCTAGAAAGACGTTATGGGGAAGGAGGGAATCAAAAACGAATTCCCAAAAAAGTGAGTGCTGGAAGTTTTCTGAAGTGAATTGAAATCTTTGATCATGTTAACAATTTTGTGTCAAAACTCACTTCCACACTAAGAACGTTTCAAAACTTGTCATGTGTGATAAATCGCTGCTGCAAATATAAAATAGGGGAAACAATCTAACTAGCAACCCTAACGTCCCATATACAAACCTTGGGTTGCCTGGGCTCCGCTCGGGCTCGTTCGGCAGCTAGCTTCTCAAGATGAATATTCAGGTTCTTTAACTGAATGTTTTTTAACGGGTTTCCCGCGGGACGGCTCCGTCCCGCGCTCATAGTGGACGTAGAAGTGGCAGCAAAGTTAATCTTAGGGATCTTAAGCTGTACGGAAGAGGATGAATCGGGTATTTTATTAATGAGCTCTTTAGCCTTCCTAGCCTTGCTGCGCTCATCAATTAAACCACCTACAGCCCTAAATTTAGCCAGAGGCCCGTCACTAGCAGTAAAAGCGTTCTCCATTGCCTGATTGTTCAACCCAGCAGCACGCTTGGTCGTAGCCGTCTTACTTATTTTGAGTTCAGGAGGCGGTTTGGACGGCGTGACAGGCGTGACCAAGTGGCTCTTGGTAAAGGGAACTGAGCCAGATGATGTGACAAGCTGTCCTTTGATTGGTACAGACAGGACGCGTACGTGCTTGTACGGCGGTCGCGGCAGGTCCACCTGGATGCACTGGTCCACCATTGTCTTGGGTGGTGAGTCTGTAGTGGTGTCACATTCTATTTCTAGAACTTCCTGGTTATCTTCAAACTCTCCTCTTTCTACAACACCATCCGTTTCGCTACTGGTATCGAGAAGCATTTTCTTTGCTTTTCTTTCACCTTCCGAGGTAGAATCTGCTTCAGGTTTTCGCTTGTGATCTTTCGCTGCTCTGTGCCCGTTTGTTACAAATTCAAAACTGTTAGCTGCGTTCTCCGTAAGAGGAGTGCTTCCCACTGCCCTTGGGCTGACGATCACGCCGGTGGATCTTGGGGGATCCCATGTGGATGTCACTTCACTCTGTATAAATACATCTGACTCAGTAAAGTCCTCTCTATCGTAACTGTTCTCGGCGCCATACGCCGCCAAGTTAGAATTCGATTTATCAGAAAGCCGCCTCTCGGTTGAATGTCTACCAGGAGGTTTCTTTGCGGAGTGTTGTTGAATTTCAAACAAGCTCCGTCCCGCTAAAGGACTGGAAGGTTCAAAAAACACGTTCACTTTGGCAGCCGCGTTTAAGCTCGCCATACGCGGCGTTCTTCTTTGCGCTAGAGAACCGCCTTCTAAGTCCATGGACGTTTTATCAACGTAGCCCGGCGTGGGCGCCAAGCGTTCTAACATCGAAGTGTGCCGCGTGCGCGTACGCCGGTTACGTTTGTGTTCTGAAACGTCTTTTTCACTCTCAAACAACGGGGGCGCGTTATCCGTGGCATTTCCTACTGTATGTCTTTCTTGCACTTCCATAATCTCATCCAGAGTGCTGATCGGCGACTTTGAAGGGGGGTTATTCTGGTCGACAGAGGTTTTGTAGTCAGTAGAATTCGCGGTCACGATGCCATCATTGTGCGATTTAATGTCATGCCAACCGTTATGGTTCCGTTCTTGTTGGCTGTCGTCTTGTATTTTTGGCCCGCGTTTCTTCAGTCGTCTTGGTGCTGGTTGACGTTCGCCGAACGTCTTTGTCAGTTGTCTTCCTGATCGCGTCTGTAACAAAATATCAATAACTGATCAGTCATCTACCAAAACAAAGAAACCCGGAATATGTAGCGTTTGTGTAAATCTTGGTCTCTATTGGACCATGTCAACGTAGAGTTATCGTAGGAGTGTGTTTATGGCGAACTTCCCACTCAATATACATAACCGCAGTCTTAGTTTTCATGTGATGCTTTCGCCACCATATTGGAAGACCTTAACAAAAGAGTTTTGACTACAGTTACTTATTTTAATTGTTCATCCTACATGGCCGCGAGGCTTTGAATCTTGCAGGAATGAACAATTCGACAGCGCTCCCAGGACCAATTTCGAGTAGTAAAGCTTTTAGTAAACTGTTCTCGCCGCCAAAAGCACTGGAATTTAAAATCCCAAAGATTACACCATCCATATACCAATTTACGTAAAAAGTTTGTTTAAAACATAAATGCGTGTTTTACCACAACAGCCTGAAGACGACCAAAGCTTCAACTATGGTCAAACTCTCCGTTCTGACGGTCGTTTTCGCCGAAAACGTAATAGTAGATGAAAGAAAATAAACTTAAATAATGCTTCTCGCAATTTCCATCACGCCCGCTCGCCAAAGCGGAAGGTGTTTTCAGTTAATTTTTTATCAGCTCTTACATGTAAGAATTCTCTGAGTTTTCGGGCACTGTTTTCCTGCATGAGTTTTGTTCGCGAAGGAACAGTTCTCTCATAATACAGAATCTCGACTTAAAAAAGGAAAAAAAAAACAACAACATGCATGACTGGGCATAAGGTATCACTGACAAGATCAATTTAATTCAAACAAAAGAACAACATTCCTGTCGAACAAAAAAACAACTGTTTTACATTTTGTTTTTACGCCCACAATTCATGAAATAGTTCTGCCTTGACAGAGGAATAGATTAGAGAGCGTTTTACACGCAATGTAAGGCCACCTTTGAAAGAGTACGTATTTGATGTCTCAGCTGG